AATTTATTTAAAATGAACTCTTCGACGAGATGGTTGAGAAACAGATGTCGCTGGAATAGATGTCGCTACAAAATAGATATACATTGGGTTACAGACAAGCAGCGCACTAGTGTGCGACAAAGACAGTAATAGCAATTAGTACCATCATTTCACCGCTACGTGGCACTGTATGTATTTCAGTATCTGTAAGTACGATGATCAATAATCTAGTATAATCACCGTACTACAAAGGTTAACAAATAACTTTATACTTTATTATTTTTTAGAACGAATATTTAACAAGATATATATATGAAAAAATGAGAACTATAAATTACAACTAATTAATACTCTTTTAATTGACTGTTTAACGACGATTGTAGACTGTAGATTGTCTGTTAACTATTTAACAACTATTATATATGTCCTCGATAATTTCTTATGTTTCCTTGGCACTTGTTAATCAACTCCTTGGTAATTTCTTAAAAGACTGATCATTTTTACATAATTATTTGTTTTCGTTTTTCATACAGTTGGCGCCGTAAATTTACCGGAAATGTACCCTTCGACCAAACGATTGGGCGGGAATAGATGTCGCTACATATCCATGGATTTGTAGCGACATCTGTTCAATCTTATAAAAAGTTCAGTCTTGTAGAAAGTTACCATAAATTATTGGTTACCATCTTACAAACAAATTGCCGAGAATATATATAATAGTAAATAAGAAATTAATAAACAGTCGTGAATTGTCAGTCGTAATTCATCCATTACATTCTGTATCATGTAAATGTTAAAATAAATTATAAAATTTTCCTTTGTAGTACGGTGACTTTATTATTTATCGATCATCGTACCTACAGATTGACCAAATTTTCATAGGCCGCAAAAATAGGTAATTAAGGAGATTGATTTGTGAACTTTTATAATTACATTCGTCAATTAGGTTCATCATTTTCTTCTTGTATACTATTTAATCCATGAAATACACGTACAAAAATTCACGAATTTTGTTCAGCAGATCGAAATGTAATTGACGTTTAGCTTCTCACGAAATTTAACTTACAATTATTCGTAAACATAATTAGAGAGATGCACGAAAATTTGACGTGCAGTTTTGAATATAAAACTTCATTTAATCGATTAGTTATATTAATTGTACTACTATTACAAAAGCCGGCGTGATGCATGATTTGCTTTTCAAGGTAAATTTATTTAATCCTTTATGTCGATTACGCTCGTCATAAAAAGATGACTTTCTTTTATTTAGTAACGAGCACACTAATCGAGGCATTTGAATTTTTACAATTTTCGAGGACAAAGGTATCCTTGTTCCTCCAGTTGCTGCACGATGTGAACGAATCTTTGAAGAAAACTAACGCGAAGTTGTCAAAGGGACTTCACATTTTCAAACACAA